ACCCGTTTATTTCGGTTATTCATGGAGTTCATAATACCGGCCCTATTAGTGACTTACTTTACCCTCAGAATTATTATCCATTTGTATAGTATAGGCGACCATTCCTGGAGACCGGTAGCCAAACGCCTGTTGGCAGTGTTAGCGGTATTTATCGTTAAGAACACGGCTTTCCATACGGCCACTAAGTTCTCATATTATCAACCTGGAGATACCTGTCCCCTAAGTGCCCAGTATTACGTGTGTTTCATGATTATAAGAGCCACGGGTTTTGCCAATTCATTGATATTCTTCTGGTTCGCCACCGGATTCAAGAAGAATTGTCTCCATTTTATTGTCAATTGTGTTCGCGTTTACGATAAGAATATTCCGGTTCCCGAATCGAGGTTTAGTCGGAAGGGGACTGGGGTTCAGAGGGTCCACCGAGCGGTTAGGGGACAGACTTTTATGGAAACTATTTTAAGCGATTATTATTATGTTATTTGAGTTTAAAACTGTATTTAATTATTTGATATTTTTTTCAATGTTTTCATTGGTATTAAATACTAAATAAGTGGTTAATGAGTGTTTAACTAATTACTCTATGTACTTTTAAGTATCATATACAGTATTTCATTTTCAATGCATTGTATTTTTCATAAATTTCTAAAACAATAAAATTATTCTGAATTTATTTTGAGCATAAATATTTAGATAACTGTTAATTAATTTAAATAAAACTTTATTTCTATAATAAGCTATTTAAAACTATATTAAATATTTTATTTATATTATATTCTTAATATTTATATAAATATTATTAATTATTGATTTAATGACTGGCTAAATATTTTAAATAACAGGTCGCACATTCCCCAAAGTGGCCTATTATGCACAAACACTGGGCCCTGGTCAATTATCGTTATACAATCTACTCAAAGCATATTCATTATATGATACGGTAATTATTAATAAGTTTATTACAAATAAAAGTACTCTTATTTAATAAAGCAAATGCATTTTAATAATAAATATATTTTATTATTTTTGATATATTATAATACCGTTAANATTATCGTTATACAATCTACTCAAAGCATATTCATTATATGATACGGTAATTATTAATAAGTTTATTACAAATAAAAGTACTCTTATTTAATAAAGCAAATGCATTTTAATAATAAATATATTTTATTATTTTTGATATATTATAATACCGTTAATACCATATTTTAAACAGGAAGTGGAATATTGTCAGGGATTAAGTTTTGTGGCCGGGATACTTTTACTACATGTGAGTTGAATATCTAATTAATTATATTTGCGTTAATATTCATCGTTATTAATATATTTATTGCATGGCATGGGGTCGCCCCTCAGGGTAGCCATTAATATACCGTTAGTTATATTAATAAATGTTTATAATTTTTCACTGACCTCTAGACTAATATAAAAAATATTA